ATCCAAAGACCACTGCAAGGTTCACAATAACTCATCTGTGCTTTCCTGTGCTGCAGAAACTTCCCTGCCATCCATCCTGATCTCCTTCTCAAACATCTAACTGTTCTGGCACCATTTAAGTGCACATTTTAATAGTAATTTACATCAGGGCTAACTTCACACAACGCAGGTCCCAAGCAAGATGTGAAAATAAGACCCTGGACAATTTTATGTAAAATTCTTTATTTTCCATGAACCCATCCAGCTTGCCAGAAATACAACTGTCTTCTGAGAGCTCAGACCTCCCACACATTCCTCTCCAGTTCTGCATCCTTGGCTTTGCTCACCTCCAAACACAGCTCTAAGTCCTCCCTCAGAAATGCAGAATCCATGTTGCCTCAGGAGCCCCTGGACAGATTGCAGCCCCTTGACTTTACACAGGAGCTAATTACCATGACTGTTCACAGAAGATCCGCTGTGCAGGCCTCTATCCCTCAGCACATAACAGACTTATATGCTCAGATGCGAAGAAAGTATCAAAACAAATGAGAATAATAAAGACTAATACTGCAAATCTGGCCTAGATTTCATACACAAGTGTTGCTCTGAGGCTGGAATTCAACCACTCTAAAACAACTCCTCTTGCATAACATTCCAGCATAACAGAGTAACTCCTCTGAGGAGAGGATGAGAAGGATTAGACTGTCCAGCCTAGAGGAGACTGAGAGGCGGCCTCAATGCTGCCTGAGGAGGAGAAGCACAGAATTGTGCCAGGCTCTGCTCCTGGTCACCAACACCAGGATGTGTGGGAACAGTGCAAATATGAGCTGGGGAACATCAGGCTGGAAATTAGGAAAAAATTCTTTATCACGATGGAGGAGATTGGACACTGGAACAGGCTTCCTGGAGAGGTGGTTGCTGCCCCATGTCTGTTTAAGAGACTTCTGGACGATGTCGTCATTAATATGCTTCAACTTTTGCTGAGCCCTGACATGGTCAGGCCATCATACTAGATGATCTCTGTAGGTCCCTGCCAACTGAACTGTTCTACACTACTCACACATTAAAACAAAACAAAGAAGTTCTTTAGATTCAGCTCAAAAACTAGCATTAGAATAAAATAGCCAAACATATTATAAACACAGGGCTACATGGATAATTTTTTTTGTAAATCAGAAGTGTCAAATCTCGCTTGAAGTAATTTGCAGTAATTTCTGTGCTGTAACTGAACATAGACAAGGAGAATCACATCTGGTGCCTGGGCTGTGCAAACGCATATATAACTAGAGTTGAATACCAAAATCCAGCAATGATAGAATTCATTAGACCAGTATAATGTTGTGTAATTACTCTTTTTTTTTTTTTTTTTTTTTTTAAATCATCCACTGTGTGCCTGAAGAGCTCTTCTTACCCCTTGATATATTTACACACATCTGTATAAAAGGCTGAGGAAGTATTAGGTGTGTCAGAAGATCACACGGAATGGAAAAGCAACCACTGTACAATAACTGTACTGCCAGTGAATCAAAACTAAAACTAAAACTAAATTCATCCCCTAGCATACACTTTACAGATGGATACTGGATTTTTGTTTGTTAGAAAGTTGAACCTTTCTGTCAGTAAAGAAAAGTCCTGATATGACAAAATCACCTTCTTCCACCAGCACTTCTTCCTCAGCTTATCCAACACGTGTTTTCAGCTTTCCACCAAATATATCATCCACTGACTTTGGCGCAGATCTTTCTAAAAATCTTCCCTTAGTCTTTCATCAGGGAAGCCAGTCCCATGCATTATCACTCATACCTTAGATTTGGAAAGACCTGCCAGCCAACAACCAACTGCTGTCTCTCAGGCATAACATGACTTCCTTTGCTTCTTTCCTATCCATCACAGGAAGGTGCCCTTGCCTCCTGCCAGACCTCTCATACAGACATCCTCTCATCTCAGAGTCCAGCCTTCGTCCATTGGGCTGCAAGTCAGTCTCATCCATATAGGCCCTATCAAAACATCCCAGTTCCCCGAGCCAGCAGGGCAATGAGAGGGAACTGCCACACTTCTGTAGTGACAGTTTGTCAGAGAAGAAGGGTATTTGCCACCACTGCCCAAATTTTTCCAAGTGGTGCTTTTCATGTAGGTGGTGCTCTCCATCTCCTTTCCAATGCACCTGGCTTGTCTGCACCATCCATAAGGAGGAGGGGAGCTCAGGCTAACTGAGGAGTTAAGCTATCTGGAAAGATTAATAATGCAAACAATCCTGCAGTTTGTCTCCTCTGGTAGATGGGTTTGATGATGCTCGTGCAGCTAAATGCCAGCTCCAACCTTTGGCTAAGGTTCAGCAGGCAATTATGGGGCCAGCACAGGGCTTACAGACAGGCCTGAGGGACAAAGTAAGAGCCTGCAGCCGCCTGCACCCCACTCCCAACACCACCAGATCCACACACCCAATAACGGCTTTCTCTCCAAAGCTGTAGCTGTGGCTGAACAAGAGATGAGGAAATGCAGACAGATAAAAGCAGTCTGCAGGGACAACAAAAGCAAGCTGAAACCAATTATGATTTGCACTTATTTCATATCAGCCCACAGGACTAACACAAAAAACACCGGCACTGACCAGCCCGCTTCATTTTCAATTCCCCATTTTTCATGGAAGTTATTTGAGCTATGTGCCTGCAGGCACAGAGGGAGCTGCTCCACATTAAATATATATTGAATTCATAACAAAAATACTCCCTCTGAAGTGGTATTTTTATTGTAAACAAAAGCTGCAAAAGTTCACACCTGAGGTTTTTCCAACAACAGAGAAAATTGGCATTTAGCACGTAAAAACAGCCAAAAGGAATACTAAAATCATCAAGCCAAAACCTAAGGGATGCAGAGTTGTCCTTCAAAGGGAAAAGGTTTGTACACAAGTGAAAGAAAAACACATTCTTTCTATTAACTATGGTATGCAGCATATTTATCTTTTAACTGTTCACCAGTACAATTAAGAAATTCCATTTTTTTAAAAGCTCAGGATTTGGAAGACATGAAAAATGTGCTGAAAAGATTATTTTTAAACCCCGCTAGACAAGAACAAACTTAGCTTGTAGTTTGAAGAAAATGAAAGTGAAGTACCTTTGGTGCATGAACAGTTGTTTTTTGTAATTAGTATTTTGATCATTTTCCAATTAGTTATTGTGACAAGGATATATCTGAAACAGAATTAATTTAAATTTTATATCAATTTCTTTTCTCTCACAAGAAGCACAGAGGAACAAGAAAAAGACCCTAATAAACGAAGCAAAACATGTTTTAAATTCCTAAAATGTAAATCTTTAAGAAAGTATCTGTCAGTCATCTTTGAAGAAGGATTTTTTCAGATTTGCTTTCATGTATAATTATAGGACAGAACATCTATTACTGACCCACGTATTCCTGATGCAGAGCAATCAAAACACCAACACTATAGGACTGCACAGCTCTATTGCTGGCTGCTTTTTTTTCCATTAAACATGGAATCAGCCTGCTTTGTATGAGGTCAAACTCCCAGAAAGATTTTCATACTTCTGTAGTTTACTCCTAACTGACAGTAGGCAAAAGTGTACCAACAGCAATCACCAAAACAGCACTGCTATTCTAAGGAAAAAACAGAAAGTATTCTGAGGCAGCAACTTCTTGAAGTGGTCAAAGGCTGCTGTACCCCAGCCCCTCTCCTTCCAGACAGTAAGCACACCAGCAAGTTCCAGTTAAGCCAGATACAGGCAGTAGGGTCAGTGCTGTTTGGAAAAGTCCTGTCCACTACGTGAGACAGCTGCAGCTTTGGGCAGATCAACTAACGCTGCTTGCTTTCAAATATCCTCTTCCCAAGAACCTCTTGCACATCAACCAAGGAGCAGATCAAAGCATCTGACTCCTTGTGTCCTAGCAATCTGCTAAAGGACCATGTCTTTCCCAAGAGCTTTGCAGCCCTTCCTGCTATAGATGGCCAACCCAGTCATCATGATGTTATGGAAATTCCCACAGTATGCACAGTAGGACAAGCCACCTTGGCAGACTAAAGAAAACACCAGGACTGCAACAACCTAATCCATTTCAGATATCTTTCACAACATATGCTTTTGAAAAATCATTATCATGCCTTTCAAATAACAAGATCAAACTCCACAGAATTTGCAGTGAAAAGATAATATGGCTAACTATATACATCAGCAATTTAAATCATCTGAATCAACTATGTTAGAGGAATTAGTTGCATACTTAAAGTTCAATATTTGCATAAGTCTTTGCAAGTTGCAAATAGAAAGTCAGATAAATTGATTCAAGATAAAGACCTAGAAGGCACCACAGATAGACTATTACAATTTAAGTCTTACACTAAACTTGCACTCAACACAGAGTTTTCAGGGGACACATTTGTATATTTAAAGGATTTTTTCCATCCTATAGGGAGGTTTGCAGTGATTATTACATCAACAGCATTTCCATGTTGAGAGAATGCAGGAAAGGAAAAGGATGTAGCATAACACCAAAGAATCTATCAGGTACAGCTCTGGATATCACATATCATTTATTAATATTTCAAAAATGCTGCAATTAAGAGGCAACTACACTTTGCTTTGTTTTCCTTTTTTTTTTTTTTTTTAATGAAATGGTAATTCCCTGTTTCTGTACTTATGTATTTCCCTAGATACGCAAGGAAGTTATCAATCATTTTTCTTCAAACGTTGCTACAAAATATATTGAAGACCACTGAACAGAAAGCTCTCACACTTTAAGCTGAAGACAGCATCAGCAGATTTGAACAAATCTCACACTTCCAACATGCTAATTGGTCTGGAATCTGGAATCAAATGTTCACTACAGAAGGAAGTTGGGTGGACTGAAATCAATGAAACAGATGCAGGAAATCTTAGCACAGAAACACTTGGTCACAAAAACTTTCCATGAGATGTCCCACAGAAGCTAATGCCGACACTTTCGCAGAATATCGCTCCTAGAAATCCAGCCAGTAGAAATAAAATTAGTAATAATGACAATCTTACCTGGTCCCAGGGACAGATGATTCCTCCGAAACACATAAAGAGATATCCCATGGCAACAAGACATACCCAGACCACCAACGAAAATACACGGAGCAGCTTCTTAAAGACAGGCTCTAAGCAGACAAGGATAAATATAGCAAAAAAAATTGCTAGAGCTGTTGGAACAGTTATTAAAAATGCCACGTGGTCTTCAATTTCCTGAAAACAAAGGAAAATGAAAAGGAAGTTAAAAACTGATGTACTTAAAGGTCAGACCAGAGTAAGACACTCTTAACTGATGGTGCACTGATATTTCAGAGAGACATGGGAATATCAATCAAATGTCTAGTGATATTGATTCATATCACTAGACATGGACCCACAACAGGATTTCTGTCCATGTAAGGAGCTGTAATTTGGATTAGCTTCATAAATAACCATTAGCCACACGAATACCTCTTTGGTTAAATTGAGATGTACATTATTTGAAGTAGATTGAGAAAACTAACTCACACTGCAGTAATGTGGTAGGCATGAAGGACCAAGTGAATTAGAGGCAAGGCATATCCAATCTGCAGAAAGTGGCACAAGCTTTTCTGCTCCTGAATTCACAAGATCTCTGCAGACAGTATGGTTCACAGGTTAAACTGAAGAATCTCCACTGAAGAACGCAACTGTCTAAACACCTCCCAAATTGACTATGCTGTCAATAAGTCCTTTAGAGTCTAATTTTTTTGACATCAATATCTATCAGGTACTATCTATCTTGCTTCTTTTTGAAGCACTCAGCTGGATGGATGGGTTACAGATTATATGCACCTTTTTTTTCCTAGCAAGTGCTAACTTTGAAATGTGCAGCAACATGCAGTGCAATAGCTGGAACGTACCTCAAAAAGAGATTCAGAATAAAGCGGAATTAAATTTCTTTACAGAACCTGTATAAAAGTTACTACACTAATATGTTTAAATCATCTAGTGATAGAAGCATTAAAAAAATATTTATTACTGCATTAATTCCAAAGCATCCATGGTTGAAGTACAACAGCACTGTATCAAAGGCTGGTTGTACAACTTTCATTCATTCATGCAGCTGTTAGGAGTTCAACAGCAATTTTTAGCAAAAAAAGGATTGCAAAAGGCCCCAAATGCTGCTGTTGTAGCAGCGTAATGCCCTCCACAAGTCACACTGTATGCAGAAACGCTTCACCTCTACTTCTGTTGGTGAAATCATGGGGACAATCTGAAAGCGCCTATTTGATCATTTTTCAGCACTGATTTCAACTGATTTTCCCCTAGTTTTGTAATGGCTTTCTTAGTGTCTGATACTTTTTGCCCACTGGTAGCTCATCAGCTTAAATACTTAACATTTTATCTTCTGTGGGCTTTTTATCTTACTTATATAAAACTTTCTACAGGTAGTGCAAAAATAAATAAATAAATAAATAAATTGGAAACGTGTTTCAGCATTTTTTTTTCCCCCTCATAAAAGACAAACTACACAAGCCAGTATCCATAAGAGACAAGTGCTGTTGCACTCTTTCACATCCTTCCCCTGCTGTTCATGACCTTATTGTGCATGCTCTGCACACTTCCATGCTCGTCAGCTGCCTCCAGCATGCTCACCCACTGCCACGAGTGTCCCCACGCCTCCGGTCAGCACCACATCAGGCAGGAGCCACGAGCTCAGGCATACACATAACCAAAGCAGACTCTGGACTTTGACAGGAGAGGAATTGATCGACTTTCTGCCAAGCTCATTAGCTGATATACCATATGGCTCAAGCCATTAGCCATCAGCCATATGGCTCCTGGAGCAGAGCAGCAATCCTTGGCTGCTGGAAACCGGCAGAAACACAGCTATGAGAGCCTACCTCTGATCAGGCAGGGCAGGCTGAGGGTTATCCTTCCTGTACTTCAGCTATTGCCACGAAGCCAAACAGAAAGACAGTAGTAATTTTCAGAACTAACTCTTGCCTTTCTCACCTTTAAAACACATTTAAGTTACCTTATCTTCTTCTGTGTATGACTGCATAATAATAAATGGGGTTTTGTTCATCCCCACCCCTGAAGTTTGTTTCAGTGAACATCTTGATCAGTTTCAGCCCAGATTTCATCAAAAGCATTTAATTAAACTGTTTCACTCCTGCACTTACAGGTGGGATTCAAAACTCCTGTTACACACTGAGAAGTGAGACCCCTCCCCCGAGACAGGACAATGTCACTCCTTTCCTCTCCCTTTATAGATGGGACATGACAACACTGTCTATCATACAGTCAAGGTTGCAGACATGAAGAGGAACTCACACCATCCTAAAGAAAGCCAAGATTCAGGAAACTTGGACTTAAGTGATGTCAAATTTGATAACATCAAATTCATAACACGGTAACAATGAATCTATTAATGAACTACAAGGAATTTGACAATATGCTTCTCCATTTCAGTCATGTATGGGTACATACTGCTTTCTAGGATGATCTCACTCTATAACAGAATAATATTCAGCTTTCAGTTTACAGCACATATATACACACACAGTTAAATATCTACATATATACATATTCTATCATTAGATCAATCTATCAAAATTTTGTTCCTCATTACAAGCTAATCACCAAAAAAACCCTTTTTTTTTAAAGTGTAAACCAACCTCAACACTTAGATGAGCCATTTCAATCACCAAATGTAAAAGTTATTCCTATTATCCCCCCTTGTTTGATTGCCTATTCCAAAGTTTTGAAGTTTTGGTTTGTCTTAAATATATGCAGTAAAAGAAATAAAAAATAGACCCCAGTTACGCCAGCTTCTCATTCCATGTATATGAAAGCAGCCTCCCTGGCTTCAGTGGGACTTCACCTAGCTGAGCCGACGACAAAGCCACAGCTTCTAGAAGCCCAAAGTGCTTACATCTTACCATACACATTTTTTATCTAAAGTAAAAGATGAATTTAATGATAGAATAGGGTAAGCTGAAGGCAATTAAAGTATACATATAAAAAAATAATTCTTGTAACTTTAATTCATTTAATTCAATTCATTCAATACAGGGTACTTTTCCCAATATTGCCTGTAAAATATGTGCTAGTTTTAGGCCAACAGAGGCAGGCTGCCTGACACGGGATTTTCTTCTCAAAATTACTTGCAACAGTATTTTTCTATTTCTCTAAAGAAGTGAAATTTTCAAAGAGGAGGACATTTAGAGCTTGGAACGTCTCTATCAGTATTAGCAATCATCAGTGTGTTTAGCAAGTTACAAGATGATGTCAGGTACAAGGACAATTCCCAACAATAAAATGTTCTGTTTCCCTAACTATTTCCGCAGGATGGAAAAAGAACCCGCACAGAACACTTTCCTTCTTTTTTATTGCTACTCACAGAAATTAAAATACACCAGAGGTAATGGAATTAAACTATCAGCATGACACTTTCAAACATAACGGCTAGGCCTACAATACATGGATCTTGCCTGACAGCTCTATCTTCCTGAGTGTTTGCTATCTTGCTGCCTTTTAATCACTGAAGAAATTAAGAAGTCTACCGTTACAAATTGTTCTAACCCCCATAAATGCATAAGTACGTAATAATATTGTTATCATCTCTAAAATCTGAATCACTTTCACTGATCTTTCCAAAAGCTACAACCTTTTCTCATTCCCCATCCTGTTCCCTCCCCTTCCAAATAACAGTGTGCCTTCTGTTTAATTTTAAACATCAGAGCTGCTGTAGAGCAATTCACTCTTTTATATAAGCCACACAACTAGGTAAAGCACCCTATAAAAATGAACAAACAAGCATTTACAATAGCAGTCTCAGCATAAAATCTCCTCCCATCATCTCTCTCATTCTTTTGGTGCTTTTTCCTTTATTCTTGTCATCTAATGGAATTTGACACCAGTCTACAGACAGTAGACCCCTGCTGAGATCTGAAATACCACATGCTTAGTCACAATTAATTCAAACCATTTACTATACTAAATCATTACTAAAATCCTTTTTTGCTGAGATCAGTGAAATGCTTCTAAATAAGAACACATATTTTTTAAAAGTGAGCAGTGTTCTTCAAACATTGAAACTATGTAAGATTTCATATAATTACTGTAGAAAATGTTGAGCATTTAAAAAAAAAAAAAATGGCCTGAAGGACTATTAGCTCACCCACCTCCTTAACAAAGTAGGACATCTTCATTTAAGCAGGCTGACTGCAGGAATCTGTTCCGTTACCTCTTTAGCAAAAAATGGCCATTTTTTCCCGTAAAATCTTTCCAAAGTCTTGTGAGAATGAGAACCACAATGATTTTCAGAAGATGTCACCACCTTTCTCTTCACAGAAGTACACAGCATTTCAGTTCTCTAACACCTCAAGAAATAGTTCTCTCCAAAGATAAAGATATAAAAATCTCCTGGGTGCTTGTAACTTTTATCCCATATTTTTATATTTTAGTGAACTTGCTTACAGCTGATTGCAGTGTGTCATATGCTAGGCAGCTGGAAAAATCCCCATTTTACTGGGAGATGCTGCTGCTCCCAGCCAAGGAGCTGTACAGCTTCATTTAGAATCTCATCATTTAGGACAACTGAAAAGTTTTCACTGACCACCGCAGAATTTTTTTCCACCTATTTCATCACTATGAGACCATCTTCCCTCCAGAAACGATGATTTGCCTTTAAGTCCAGATGCCATTTCCAAGCCTGCGTGGTATTTTCTTGATCCACAACTAAGAAAAACTTCTCTGCCTTTCACATCTACTTTTTTCTTTCATAACTCAAAGCTTTGCTCGTGCTTCCTTCTTACGTTTCTGGTTAGAAGCTTTCTCGTGTGCCTTTATATTTTAGTTGATTAATCATTTATTGAGCTTTCCACAGCATGCTCATGGACATTAGCAACAAATTAATTGAACTGTACTTTTTAATCAAACTGCCCTGCCTTTTATGTTGACAAAGTGCTTGATTTTCACCAAGAGATTTCTCCCTCTGATTCAACATTCCCTCTTTGGTTTGGTACATCAATAATAAGAACATCAGGCTCAACATCCAGTTTCTTCACAGAGATTCTTGTCTTGAGAAATTCACTTCCCCATTAATGAGTCAGAACCACATTCTGCACCTGCTGTTAGCAGACCGTGATATTTGACTACTCGCCTGCCAGCAATCAGACCAGCAATCTGCACATCACGTGCATAGTGAAATTTAGATTGTCATTATAGCTTCCAAGCTGCTGCAC